GACTACAGTTTGTAAAATTAGGACAAGGCATTGCAACTTCCATCTTGCTCTTGGGTAATTGTTTTTGTTGAGCAGTCCTTTGTCTAAATAGCCATTTGCTAAAAAAACTGTGGCTTCCTGCTTTCCACTTGCCCTGGTTTGCTGGTCCTGTGTGTGAGTGACTTTGGAAGCAAAGGCTTCAAGCCTTCAGACATCTTCTATACAACCCGATAAGAGGACCACAAGGCAGAACCATCGAACTTAGGACAACTTGGGACAAATACATGACTTTTAGAAATTGGGTGAATTCATAAGTATTTATTTTAAATTGCAAAGTTTTGGGATAACTTGCTAGGGAACACGGATAAACATTATTAGCACTATAATGCAATAATATAAACCTGAAGTCTTGGTAAGTTTTTGTAGATGTTTCATAGTGCCTCTGTTGTTAGTGAGTGTTCTTCCTTATTTGGTCTCTCAGTAACAGATTGCCTCCTCAACCCACACCTCTGTAGCACTGTCCTCCCATTGTTCATCGATTTTGCTTGAGCGGGCACCAGTAATGCCTCCATTGTCAGACTTGTTGGCATATCAAAAACATCACGGGTAGCTTGCCAGGCTTTGCTGTGCAGGCAAGATACTCTCGGTAGCTTGCCAGGCTCTCCGAGAGGGGTGGAGGAATTGAACCTGGATCTGCTGCATGCCAGGCACATGCCCTACCTGCTGTGCTATCACTCCAGCCCCAACCCACACACCTATTTTTTTTTTAAATTTTATCGAAACACCATGAGATAGTTATAAGCATTCATGTTTGGATTACAATCACACAATTATCAAACACCCATCCCTCCACCACCAATATCCCCATTATACCCTACCTTTCCCACCCTCCCCCTGCCTCCATGGAAGACATAATCCCCCATAATCTTTCTCTACTTTTGGGCATTATGGCTTGCAGTACACACACTGAGAGGTTATTATCTTTGGTCCTTTATCTACTTTCTGCACACATCTCCCATCCCAACTGCTTCCTCCAGCCATCATTTTCTTGGTGATCCCTTCTCTATTCCAGCTGCCTGCTCCCCTTTCCTCATGAGGCAGGCTTCCAGCTATGGAGCAATCTACCTGTCCCATGTATCTACTATCCTCAGGAACCCATACACATTATGTCTGTCCTTAGAATTGATTCAATACTGAGAGTTGCAGAGACAATTGGAGAGGGTTTGAAAATCTCCAACCACTCTGATTTCCCACTTAGCTAGTGTCTGCTTTCTCTGACAGCCAAAGAAAAATCGAAAGCCAAAAAAAAAAAAAAAAAAAAAGCTCTACTGCAGAAATCCAGGGTCATTGTTTTGGGGGTTTATTTTTGAGAAACCATTTTTGGTTTTTAAAGTGTAGAAATTCTAGATGGTTAACACAAGCTTTTGACATGAACTCTGGCTTGTAAGTAGAAATATATTTGTGTTAAGGGTTGGGCTGTGGAGGGCTGGCCTTTCCTTCCAAGGCCGAGAGAAGAGTTTGCCCTTGGTGGAATGGGTTGCAGATCCCCCAAACTACTCAATTTCAAGATGAAGAAAAGGGGCCAGAAAGGTTATTGTTTCCAAAGCCACACAGTTGGTTTGTAGTGGAGTTAACTCGGAGTCCTGGCCACCAGCACAATGAGATAAGGTTTGTTTCAGGCCTGACTGTGGTTTTGATTTTTATTATCTTTGCTAATTTCAAGTGAAAATGAATTCCTTAAATGAGGACTATATACTTTCTTTAAAGTGTGTTGTGTTTTTTTGATGTTTCAATAGACACTAGAATTTTATGATTTTATGTGTCCCCGTAGGCAGCTCTTTACATAGGTACTTCAAAATTGCAAAAATAAATTACCCTTGGGCTCCAGTCCAATGAGCATGATTTATACTACAGCTGAGGTCTGTGTACAACCTGTTCCTGCTACCTAGGCCACATGCGACTCTGGCTTGAATGTCATTGAATTATTTGCTAGATAGTCTGCTTTTTAACATAAAGGCTTTATTTAAAATTAGAGCTTAATTATAATTATATTTTCCTTTGACTAGAATGAAGCATAGCCACTTTGGGTTTTAAGTGGCTTCTTCCAAATGCTTAGTTGGGATTTGAGGCATGTGTGGCATTAAGAATCTATCCTTATTGTCAGATACTGAATGACTCACTCATATGTGGTATACAGAGAAACAAATCAAGAGGAGAGACAGTATCAAATCCTTGGCCTTGGATTATTAAACTGAGGTTACCAAGTGGGTGGGATAATAGTTGGGGAATGAGTAGGTGGCCAAAAAGTAATACAAGGACAATTGTGGAGGGTTTGGGGCATTTTATTTTTTATTTATTTATTTTTTGCTTTTTGGGTCACACCCAGTGATTCTCAGGGGTCACTCCTGGCTTTGCACTCAGGAATTATTCCTGGCGGTGCTCAGGGTACCATATGGGATGCTGGGAATCAAACCTGGGTCACCCGCGTGCAAGGCAAACACCCTACCCACTGTGCTATGGATCCAGCCCCTGGTTTTGGGCATTTTAATGGTTATGAGGTATAATAGCTAAACATAAAAACCACGAATGTTAATAACTATGACAAACATGTGACCTTGAGCTATAATTATTAAATTAAAAAACATAAGTAAAAGTTGGCCTGTCTTTACTGAACCATATTAATGCTATTGTGTTTTCATAAAATATGTGAGAATATTTTGACTCTAATTCAATAGGTTTACTGCTTAAAACTTGTGAAATATTTTAAATTGGAACAAACAATTGATGGGAGACCTTTTTTTCTCTTTTTTTAAAAAATTTTTATTAGTGAAACACCATGAGGTACAGTTGTAGACTTACAATTTTTTGTGCTTGGGTTTCAGTTATACAATGATCGGGTACCTATCCCTCCACCAGCACCCATTCTCCACCACCACTGATCCCAGTATCCCTCCCACCCCCCATCCCACCCTGCCTCCGTGGCAGGGGATTCCCTTTTGCTCTTTCTATTCTTTTGGGTGCTGTGGTTTGCAAAAGAGGCATTGAGTGAAAATCATGTTCGGTCTATAGTCTACTTTCAGCATGCATCTCCCATCTTGGGAGGATCCTCCCAACACTCTTTATTTGGTGCTCCCTTCTCTATCTGAGCTGCCTTTTCTCCTAGCATGTGCAGCAGCTGACCTCCAAGCCATGGAGTAAACCTCCTGGTACTTATCTTGGCTATTCTTGGGTATTAGTCTGATGCATTATAACTATTTTTTTTTGATATGAGATTTGCATCCTGGGTTACTGAAACACCAAGCCATTTGTTCTTTCCTGATTATTTGGGGATCAGTTTTGAAAACATTAATTTGAATCATTTGATACTTACAATTAGCATAGGTTTTAGAAATTATGTGTGTGTAATAACAAAATAATCACATTTGTTCAGCCTGGAATTTCGCCAGTGTGTTATTTCCCCTTTCCCCACAAAAATCAGATTAAATGCCTTGTATCAAGGCATCTATTTGGCTTTTGACTTATGAGTTCCTTTCATCTTTGACCTTATATTTAAAGGAATCATGGATTTCAGCTTGGACTTAATACTGCCTTAATAGGCTGAGTAACCTTCCACCCTTATGCTTCCTTTTTCCTTAAGAAGAAAATCTTGGCTCCTTTGCAAATCAGCGTTGCCTTTCTTTTGCCATATATTTGTTTTCCCGTTCCCCCAACGCCCTCCCTGTCTCCCAGCTGCTGAGTTATAGCTTCTTCTTTTTGTTGTTGTTGTTGTTATTTGTTTGTTTGTTTGTTTATATCCTTCACCATCCCTTGCTACCCCACCCTGCTTTTCTTCCAGTGAGGGTGAGTTTGCAGGGGAAAGAGCGTTTATTTTTTTCTCCAAGTGCTCGGTGGTCTTCTGGTGGCTCACAGTCAGCTTCTGGGGAAGGGGATGAGGGTTCTGGGAGGTTTTGCTGAGGTTCACACCACAGACGCAGTGTTGCCATCCTGTTTAAATAGACGGACGTGTGTTGGCACGCTAGGAAGCCACTCTCTTGCCTGAGAACCCCAGCGAGTGAAGGTGAAGGTCGAGTTCACATGGGATCAGTTACCGGCTCAGCCCTGCACAGTGTTTACATATGTAGAGGAGTGGAGATGGAAGATCCAGCTCATGCTACTCACCCAACTTGCCTTTGCAGTGCAGCTGCCTGTGAGGGCGACTTGTTTCGAGTCAGCGTCTGGAGCAGTTGCATGGGCATGGGGGGGGGGGGGGCGGGCAGGGAGCGTTGTCTAGTGGACGGAGGATTTGGGGTTTGAAATGAGATAGGGGCACAACGTACATTTTCTTTTGGGGAGGCTGTTCCCCAGGAGGCAGGTGCAGGGCGTGAGTCATGAGCCACACCTAACTCAGGCAGAGTGAGCCAATGAGCACTGGGTTTCTCCTGGGTCCTATAGTAAGGTTTCCCTGTCTGTCAAGAGCCGGCTCAGCAACCAAACCCAGATTCCAGGTGTGGTATTTATTCCACAGTCGTTCTGTAATTTGTAATCATAGAAACAGAATGTTCCTCCTCTTATTTCTTTCCTGCCAACAGTTTCTGGGTGGGTGAATGTCAGTAGCTGGAGTTATTTTTAAAGAGGAGGGGTGAAGCTTGCCGTGCAAAGCTGGGAAGAGGGCGTTTGTTTGCAGAGCAGAGCTGACATCAAAGTGTAGATTACTGCTCAGTGGCTAGGCACTTGTCCTATAACAGGTAATGTTTAACGTGCCAGTCACAAAGATCACGGAAGCAGCGTAGGATAGGACATAGGATAGCACTCCCGTTTATGCTTTGCTAGACTGAACGCCTAGACAAGTCTACAAGCCCAGCTTTTTTTTTTTAAACATATCATTGGTCTCACTGCCTCCTTTTTTGCTTGCTGTAACTGGACTTTGAAGCGGAGAAGTTATATCATAAAAATTACTAATCTTTTGTCTGAGCGAGCAAGAGAAAGAGAAAGAGCGAGAGAACGAGTTCAGCTAAGCAACCACTTTCTACTTCTTTTCACAGGATAATATAAATGTATTTTTGAAAGCTTGTGAACAGATTGGATTGAGAGAAGCCCAGCTTTTCCATCCTGGGGATCTACAGGATTTATCAAACCGCGTCACTGTCAAGTAAGTTGGACTTGTTTTATATGTATATATGTATTTTAAATGTAGGTTTAAGTGCAAAGAATTCTTGAGAGTTTACGATTATATAGAAAGTATTCCTCTCTATTCCTGCCTATTCTCATTCCAAATGACATGAAATGAGCTTGAGGATTGTGAGTTATGAAGCAGTCTGTGATTGATACCATGACAGGGTCTATTTTAACTAAAACACAGTTTCTATTTCATTGCTTGTCCAATAAGGTTGTTTTTGGTTGCTAATGGTAAAGGTCCCCATTATATTTAACACTGTACTTAAAAGTGAATATAGAGATTCTCATATAGCTTCTGGGGTGAAAAGAGTGATTAAGAATAGTTTTTATAAATCGGAATGAAGGTCCAATTACTGATGTAAAAATGAGTGTGGGCAGAGGTAAAACACTGAGTATTTGGAAGGCAGCTGTGCCTGGGATCAACATGTAGATTTAATGAAAGTGTTGATTGTGGCTGATTTTTAAAAATAAACTGCTTTTCACGATTTTAATGGCCAGGACAGAAAAGTGAAAGTGGGAGTGAAAATGTGCACAGGTATTTCTGTTGAGTTTTTGGTGGAAAATGGTACTCATGTATGAGTACATAGTTTCAGGAAATCTGGTTTGAAGATATTGTGAGACTTTTTTTCTCCCTATAAATCTAATTTTCTTTTAGTGAATCAGAGTAAACTCGTGTTACCAGATATATGTGTTCAGAAGATAATTCAGTTTTAGAATAATGACTACCCTTCCCTTATCATGGTTATTACACCTAATTAACATTTTTTTCTGAGGGAGAAAATAAACACCTATATTTATCAAAATAACAGAAATGGAAAGATCTGTTTCTACCCATTCAGAGATTTTTCATATATATTTTTTATTTTCGCTGCTTTAATAGCTTTCACATCTTAAATATACCAAATATTTTTGCCTAAAGCAATATTGTATATACATGTGTTTTATAGTATATTTTTTCCATTTTAGCAGTATACCCTAAAGATTCCATGTAGATTTAAAAGTCTATCTTCTTTCAAGTGAAGAGTCATTTTGATTCCATAATGCCCCCTATTCTGTTGAATATGCATTTCTAAAGGCTCTAGCGATAATGGTTATAGTAGAATGAACCTTCTGTGTTTTCTGATTAATCAAAAGGTAGTTGAGAGACGCTAAGTTTCATCACATAAAATGGCTTATTTCTGCAGTATGTGAGGTTATATTTAATTTCCCTGAAAAATATCAATGTGAATGAATGATTCCCCTCCCCCCACCCCCATCCTCCATCAACATTCTCTTAAAAAGATTGCTCACGGGTAAAGAAGTTTTTGGCTACAAAAGTCTTTTTCTCATTTTATGAAGAAAATAAAATCTTTCTGTTGAAAATCAAAATGTCTAGAAACTGTAGCTTGTGTTGGAGTGGGCTTGTGGACTAGGCCGAACAGGTAGGTTGGCTCTCAAAGTGAAGTGCAGAAACCATGCCCAAGCTTTCCTGGAGCCTGTTTCATGGGGGAGACTACAGTATTCAACACCACCACCAACAAAAAAAAATCAGTATCTGGGCTCAGCTCTCTGGGAAACGCAATTACTGACAAACTGAAACCGGGAGGTCACGTAGTTGCCGCTGAAGTAGGAAGTATGTAGAACAACTTGTTTCAGTGGAAACCACAAGTCCATAAAAGCAAGGCGTGCCAGAGTGAGAATGGCACCGTGAGATCCTGGAGTCTGCTGAGAAGGTCTCGCCTGAGCGTCCTGTATTGTGAGGCTATAGAGCATGGGGAATCGACTCTGTAGCTCCCGGTGGAAGCCAGGAAGCCTTCTTGTTGGGAGACTGGCTGATAGCTAATCTGAAAATGTCACTCACAGCCTTGGTGCCCTGACATGATGTTTTTATACAAGGAAGCAAGCTTCAGGGAAAGCAAAGAATCATTTAGTAAAATAGGAATCTATATCTTAGTTTGATGAGTTTTGTTATGTGGGGTTTCTTATAGATTAAAAAAAAAGTTGTCATTAATGTTGGATAAGGACATGCTGCCGGTTAGTGATATTCAGCTTAAGGGCACTCCCCAGGTGACAGAGTATGGCGATGTCTGGGGGTGCTTGTTTTGTTTCATTTTTGAGGGGTGTGGTGACGGGGTCGCAAACATACAAGGCTGAGCTACATTCCTGGCCTCGAGATACAGTTTTTGTAGCTGGAGTGAGTGTCAGTCACAAAGAATTTTCCTCTTTCAAAATATCATTATTTAAGCTCAGGGTTAAGAACCCTGTGTTACAATTTCCAACTTACACCTTTTTATCAGCATGGTAACACATGGAAGCAAGGATATTGAGTGATAGACTTTTATACTGTACTGCAATGTAATGTTTAATTACTAACAGAATTTAAGTATGGTTTAGTATGCTTTGTAAAGGAGTCTCCTAATTTTGAGTGTGCAGTAGTGTGAGTACCGAGATTACTTTGCTCACGACATACAATAAAATTAGCAAAAGTGTGACAAGCAGTTTATTTTAAATGCTCCATGATTAACTGCAGAGATAGTTTCCAACATGAGTGGATCTCTAGTGGGCCTCTTGCCAGTTCAGCCCAATATACACATTTGTGGGATTTGAGCGAGATAGCACAGTGGGTTGGGCATTTGCCTTGTGTATGACTGACCCGGGTTTCATCCCCAGCATCCTATATAATCCCCTAAGCCTGCCAAAAGTCCAAAAGTGATCCCTGAGTGCAGAGCCAGAGATAAGCCCTGAGCATTGCTGGGTATGGCCCCCAAACAAAAACATACATGTTTGCTTGAAAGATATAGAGCAAATAGGAAAGGGCAGTTTATACGCTTATGTTGGCAAGCGTGAAGGACTTTTGTTAGTGGGCAGCAGTCGTGAACGCAAAATGGGATATGAAGCCAGTTGTATGTAGTGAGAGTGAGTGAGTGGAACACAAGCTATTGATGCGAAGAGTCATTGAATTTCAGTGATCCAGAAGACAACCTACAAAACACTCTTCTTTTTAGCAATTTGAGATTTCTCATTGAATTTGCAATAACATTTAACCAAGCAGACCAAAAGTCCAATTTATATTTCTGTACACATAATAGTACTCCCATGTTCTAACTGAATTATTTCACATCTTACAGGACGTTGATTAGATTTTCCAGTTCTGTTGGAATTACTCCATTCATTTTGGAGCTGCATATAGTAAATAAGTCAGTTGATGCTTCGAATGTGATATTCCTGATTTGAATGGCGAGGCTTCATCTTGACTTCTTTGCTCCCCCGCTGGCTGATTTGTGTTTTAGCCGCTGTGAGTGTGAGGTTGCTGTGGATCTATCCTATATGAGATGTTTACTCAGGTTGAGCAATAATGTGTGTTACCAAATGCACTGTTATTATTGACATTAATTTTAAATATTCAAACTGACCTTTGGAAACACACTCCACCCACAAAGAGAAGGTGAAACTCTCACAGAGTGGTCTCGGCACTTTCTAGAGAAGGCCCGGAAGGGAGCAATCTTGGTGACCAGGGGTCAACCTACAGCCCACTCATCCCACAACTCCTCAGGTCATGCCCTCTGCAGCACATTTGCCTGTTAAGAGGAGCAGAGAACTTGCTTCTGGTGAAAGATCAGCCGAAGTAGCCCGGGGTTTGATGCAAAGCTAGCTAGGGTTGAATATCAGTGCTTTTGTTTCCCTGTCAGATTTGACTCTAGCCTTAAACCCTGTATGTAATCCACGGCTCCAGTCCACTTATGTATTGAGATTTTCAAGCAAAAAATTGGAACAGATTGTAAACATGTTTCCTTTTCCCACCCCCTTAGCCTTTCCAATCTAGTTTTTAACACTTCCACAGATACATTCTGTTCATAACACAATTGCAGGATGGCAGTGCTAAAGAACATATTTTAATGATGCAAAGAAAAATTGTTTTTTTTTTAGTACAGACTTCCTATTATGTAGGAAATTCCTTTTTTAGGTATGAAAGGTAATTTAATTTTTTATTATATTTAATTCATTTCTTTTAGTCCACATTTGGCGTGCCTAGAGCTTACTCTTGTCTCTGTGCTTAGGGATCACTCTTGGGGGTACTCAGAGAGTACTGTATGCAGTACCAGGATCAGACTAGGTCAGTCATGGACAGGGCAAACTCACTACCTACTGTAGTATATCTTTGACCCATGGAATGTAATTTTAAATCGTGATATTGACTGAGTTGAAAGAGCGTTTACCAAATGAAGGGTTTGGAATTCTGAGTCTTGTTTTTACATGTGTTTGTTGCTGAAGGAATAGCGAGTACATACCTGCTTAGCATGTGTGAGGTTGTGAGTTCGATCCCTGGCACTGCATGGCCCACTGAGCAACTGGTCACCTCCGGGCACTCACAGACTTGAGAATCACACACCACCTAAGAGCACCATGGGATGTGACCCCTATGACCCCTATGAGTTTGTGTGTGTGTGTGTGTGTGTGTGTGTGTGTTTGTGTGTGTTTAAGAAAGAGTAAAATAGTAGTTATAGGCGAGATCAGTCTTAACATATTTCCCTTGTGAAAATTAAGTAGGCTCATGGTGGTATTTTAAGAATTTAACTTTTTTAAAGCTTCAAAAAGGGTGCTAGGTTTTACAGCGATTACTGTAAAGTCTTTTCTGAGGAGCCAGGCTCCAGATGACAGATGGCACTCTCCTCAAATCTGCCAAACTCAGCTGGGGATAGCAACAGGAATATGTGGTTTATACGTTGGCTCTCTTTCTTTTCCCTCATGGAAATGAAAATATCCCTACTTTGAATGATGTCTTTCCTACCTTTTTCTGACTTGAACCTGGTTTTGCATTTCCCCTCACCCCACCCCACCCCCACATCTTTCAAATGAGTTTTCCAACCCAGTGCTCTCTTTGGAAGAAGGCAAACTTCATGGGCTCTGAGCCTGGATCTGTAACTCGAGCATGGTGACTTCCACCTGTCCGTGCATGTTACTATTTTAAAATGTTCCCTTCCCACCAAGTCATTG